ACCGGCGGTCAGTGCCGTGCAATTATGTTATCGCATGAGCTGATTGTTTAGTACAATGTAACTGGTGGTGTTAGTGGACATTATACTTTTATAGCGTAACTATTACTTTTCTTTTTCCCGCGTTATCACCTCAGCTATGCCAGTTTTGTATGTGGAACCCCCCTATATAATAGCAGTTTAGTCTATATTTTTAATCATTCAACATCTACCTTCACTGATGAGCTATGTATTAGCGAAACAGCTGTCTGAAGGAGTTTATCAATATCGTCTACAGAAGTGTCCTCGCAATGGTGATGGTTGTGTGCAGGAGGGTCTAGTGGGCTAAAGAGCGCAGTTTAATGGTGGAGGTGACTCAACATTTTATTATTTGTAGTCCCAAGTAATATTAAAAATAAGAGTCCATCAACTACTGTAAACCAGATTTTGAACAGTCAGACGTACATGAGCACAATACAAGGAGTACTGAGATATTCCACGGCAAAAAAGTGATCTTGAGCACTGCTTGATCGAGCTAACCAAACGGCCTTCCAATTTGGAAGGTTCACGGATATTAGTGATAATTCCAAAGAGGGGAGGGTAAGCGCCATCAAGCCGAACACAAGCTACATTCCCAGACTCCATGGAATGCTGGCTCGGTACGATCATGGGATGGTAAGAGGCCATTGGACAATATGGTCTAACCACAATTCGACACCGCAAAGCAACAACGACCCAACTAACGTTACTTGGGACGCTCAATTTTATCAAGGATAAGATGAAAGGGAAGCTTCACGAGGACGAAGTGTGAGACACCAAAAGCCGAATTGCTATTCTACAGTACTGTGTGATGGATAAACTACCTACATGTACATGTACAATAACTTGTATAGCATCACTACCTACATGTACACTAACTTATAGCATCACACGACCATCGTTTCGTCGTATACTTCATGATGGCTCTTCAGGTGTGCAGTAAGAACTCAGATGGCAAGCCAAGAAAATATTAGAATGAAAACATGGAAACCGTTGGGGGCAGAAGTTAGGCGTTTGAACAGCCAGACACCGGTGCAAGAACACAAGAACACGGAATACCGGTATTGATTATTGTTTTGAATGCAGTGTGTCCTTGGCCAATTGGGGCAATTGGCCTTGTTATTAGGCCTTGGCGGATAATGCTCGAAAAGGTGGCAGATTCTGCTTTTTTTGCACCGAAATTGGCAGAACCATACAAACCTTATGGCGGGCAATTCCTCGAATTCTGCTCCATTTCTTTATCCACATACCAAACATGCATGAAACTTACCAGAAAAAGTACCGAATTCTGCCAATTTTTCTGCCGGCATTATCAGCCAAGGCCTACTTGTTATACATCATGTGCATGTACATGTACGTCACGGGGCTGTCTGTCATCTCCATACCTACATGTAACACCAAGAGTACATAACTACACAGTGTAGTTATGTACTCTTGCTAACACTTACAAAAAAATTATAGTCGTATCCATTTACACTTGAAAATACCGCCATTCCGGCAACAGGCTCTCAGCTGCACCACTATAAATAGATAAATAAATAACTTTGCCAATATGGCGGTATTTTCAAGTGCAAGAAATACGCTGCAATGGAGGCGGGGAATTCTGAAGAAACGTATACATTTAGCTGAAAGATTCTGACTTGATACTAGTATTGAAACGACTCGGCCCGATTTGCGGTTGCCATGAGCATGCAGCATTGGTTAAAGGGGAAGTTAAGGCAAAAATCAAAATTTCACCAGTTGTAGTCTTCGGGGCGCTGAGTCGAATGGTCGTGGTCCGAGGAAGCTGAGACGCTCCCTTCCTACTTTTAATCACAATCGAACTCGCGCACTTCCACCGAAACTGGGTGACTGCGCCCTACTAGATGGGGATTTGTATGCAAAATGTCACTAAAAGCGCCATTTCGTTCTTATAAAAGCACGGATGACCACGATTGGCCCATATGCTGTAGTCTTTTGGACGCTGAGTCGACTGGTTTTGGTCCGAAAAGGCTGCGATGCAGCGTTCCTCCTTTATTCCCAATCGAACATGGTTGAACAAGCGGTCACGTGCTCCTGCGTACACCAGTCACCTGCACCGTGCCTGCAGGGTACAACTTACTAGCCTGTTTGACCTTTTTGGGTGCACTCCTGTCACTCGAGTTGAACTCGAGTTGAACCTTGGTGTGAAGGTTGTCGCCTGCTGGCGTGGTGACCAGGTGATTTGGGCACCCAGGAGCACATGCCCGCTTGTTCAACCACGTTCGATTGGGAATAAAGGAGGAACGCTACATCGCAGCCTTTTCGGACCAAAACCAGTCGACTCAGCGTCCAAAAGACTACAACATAATGGGCCAATATCGGTCATCCGTGCTTTTATAAGAGCGAAATGGCGCTTTTAGTGACATTTTGCATACAAATCCCCATCTAGTAGGGCGCAGTCACCCAGTTTCGGTGGAAGTGCGCGAGTTCGATTGTGATTAAAGTAGGAAGGGAGCGTCTCAGCTTTCTCGGACCAAGACCATTCGACTAGCACCCTGAAGACTACAACTCGTGAAATTTTGATTTTTGCCTTAACCATGTTAACTTCCCCTTTAAAACTCCCTCCCGACTCCCGAGGCTCCGTATTACTATTAGACTGTTTTCACACCCATTTTTGCTCTCTCGACTGCGTTCACAACCTTTTTGCTCTTTTCTTCCTGTGCTGTTGAGGTTTCACTCGTGTGTTTTTCCCGTACAAGAGGCTTGGTTGATACTAGTATTCAAATCACTTCAAGAATCGAAGTCATGACAACAGGGCTGACATGTTCTAGTACCAGTTACAATGTATGTTTTCACCCAGGGTCAGGGGCAGGGGCAGGGGCAGGGGCAGGGGCAGGGGCAGGGGCAGGGGCAGGGTCAAAGATGATGAGAAGTCTTTGCCTCAACTGCTCCCTGAAACTAAAAAACAGTGCCAAAATAATATGTTTTGTGGACCCGCCTATCATGGACATAGCATGATAATGTCGTTGACGGACATCTTGAACAAAGTGTGAAACCATCCCGGTCGCTAGCCGGCTAGGAATTCCAGTGCTATCAGTTATCAGCACCCCTGCTACATTTTACCGGTACCTGTCCTGTGGGCAGCTCTTCTAGCTCCAGTCCACATTCAGTTAGTCATGTACATTGTATATTGTAGTCATGTTGACTAGTTGGCCCAGTGGTTGCTATCGCACGAACAATCCGGTCATAACATGGTTGTTCCATTCCCATATATCTTGCTCTAATCACAAATTGAAAATTGTTCCAGGATCGGAACATCGTGTCAAACTTTACATT